CCACTACTACATTCCCCACCAATTCTTCCCTGTTTGTGAACAGCAGATCAAGAAGACCACAGGCCATAGCTGGCCTCTCCAGTACTTGCATCAGGAAGTTGTCCCCAACACTCTCCAAAAACTTCCAGGATTGCCTGCGCACTGCTGTATTGCTTTCCCAGCAGATGTCAGGGTGATTGAAAGAAACTCCCACTACCTGTTTAAAGAAAGCCTCATCTACCACATCCTCCTGGTCTGGTGGTCTATAGCAGACACCCACTATGACATCCCCCATGTTGCTCTCCCATCTGGCCCTAACCCAGAGGCTTTCAACAGACCTACCTCCAGTTTCATACTGGAGGTCTGAGCAATCATACGGCTCTTTTACATAAAGTGCAACTCCTCCTCCGCTTTTCCCCTGCCTGTCCTTCCTGAACAGTTTGTATCCATCCATGACAGTGTTCTAGTCACATAAGCTATCCCACCAAGTCTCTGTTATTCCAATCACATCATAATTCAAGGACTTTCAGTTCTTCTTGTTTCCCAGGCTCCATACATTCATGTACAGACACCGGAGGTAACTAGTAGGCCTGTGCAAATAGTCAGCTATTCAGTTCGGCTTTGGATCTGGCCACTTCAGATGCCAGCGATCCGATCCGGAGCTCCAGAACAGTTTCCCACTTCAATTCAGGAGATCCAGCCATAGGGTATAATGGGGAATCAATGAAATATCTATAACTCTGTTGTTTTTTGTCTGATTTGGATGAAATGTGCAGGGGTGGTAGCCTCTGCTGAAAGCATGAAGCCTGCCAAGTTTCAAAAAGATAGTTACAGGGATTTGGGGGGAACTGTACCACAAATTCTTGAAAGAAAAACTCATGTCACATATATGTGTTACACCACGGAGGGTGAAAACTGCAGGGGTGGTGGCCCCTGCTGAGGCCACAAAGCCTGCCAAGTTTCAAGGAGACAGGTGCAGGAGTTTGGGGGGAACTGCACCTCAAGCTGCGACCAAGCAAAACTCGTGACATGGGTGCCACTGTGTGTGTTAAGGCGCAGCAGGGTGAAAGCTGCAGGGACAGTAGCCCCTGCTGCAGCCACAAAGCCTGCCGGCTTTCAAGGAGATAGATGCAGGGGTTCTGGGTTCTGGCGTCCTGCACCTCTAGCTGCTGACAGGCAAAACTCATGACATGGGTGCTTGTGCAACTCTGTCTGTCTTGGGGTGTGGGGATGTGGGAAACTACTGCAGGTCTGGCTGCTAAGCTACTGTGTTACCAGTTACCGATCAATCATAATTCACTCAGGGACCAGCTCAATACATGGTAGCTAGCTAATGTAGCCAGTTAATGAGCAAGGATTAACACCTACAAAACCACAGACTAAGGAGAGGAAAGAATCAGGACAAACAATCAACTGCCCCAAGACAGAGACAGTCAGTTGCACAAGCACCCATGTCATGAGTTTTGCCTGTCAGCAGCTAGAGGTGCAGGGCCCCAGAACCCCTACACCTATCTCCTTGACAGCTGGCAGACTTTGTGGCCACAGCAGGGGCTAGCAGGCCTGGAGCTTTTACCCACTGCGCTTTAACACACACAAGGTCATCTATGTCACGAGTTTTGCCTGTTAGCAGCCAGAGGTGCAGGGCCCCAGAAGCCAGATTCCCCCTGCACCTATCATCTTGAAACTTGGTAGACTTTGTGGACTCAGCAGGGGGTGACCATCTGGGCAGTTTTCATTCTGCTGTGGCTTAACATACACATATGACATGAGTTTTGCTTTCAAGACTTTGGGGTACAGTTTCCCCCAAACCCCTGCACTGATATTCTTGAAACTTAGCAGGCTTTATAGCCTTGGCAGGGGCCACCATCCCTGTAGTTTTCATCCAGATCAGACAAAAAACAACAAAGTTATAGATATTTCATTGATTCCCCGTTATAACCTATGGCCGGATCTCCGAAGTGACTCCGAAGCTTTTCTGAAGCAGTTCGGAAGCTCCAAACCGCTTCAGAAAGCCTAAAGAAGCCAGCCCTTTGATCTGGACATGCTGCTTCGGCGTCCGAAGTGTCCAAATCTTCTCCGGATCTGAAGCATGGTCCAAAGCCTCGCACAGCCCTAGTAACTAGCCAATTGCCCTCCTTTCTCTGGAAGAATGAGAAGGCTTCTCCGGTTGCCCCCTCCTGTTTGTCTTTTCTTCAGGTCACCCAGTTCCCCATTTAACTCAAGGCTTTGGCCTCCATCCCCTGGCAAACCTAGTTTAAAGCCCTCCTCACTAGGTTAGTGAGCCTGTCTGTGAAGATGCTCTTTCCTCTCTTCATCAGGTGGATCCTGTCACTTCCTAGCAATCCTTCTTGGAGCAACATCCTGTGGTCAAAGCAGCCAAAGTCCTGCTGGTGACACCACCTGGGCAGCCATCCATTGATCTGCAGGATGTCTCCACTCCTACCTGGGCCCTTCCCCTTGACCGGAAGGATTGAAGAGAGCTCCACCTGAGCCCTCATCCCCTTCGCCCTTGCACCCAGAGCCCTGTAGTCACTTTTGATTTGCTCAGGGTCTCCCCTGGCAGTATCATTGGCAGTAACATGGATCAGCAGCATGTAGTAGTCAGAGGACTGGATGAGTCTCAGAAATTCTTCTGTAACATCACAGACCCAGACTCTGGCCAAGCTGAAGACCTCCTGACACAACAGGGTGTGTGTGTGTGTGTGTGTGTGTGTGTGTGTGTGTGTGTGTGTGTGTGTGTGTGTGTGTGTGTGTGTGTGTGTGTGTACACCCACACACAGACACAGTTAATATGATTTTTAATCTGACGAATAACATTTCTCCAGAGAGGAGAGGGATCAAGGGCTGTGGAAGGATGGGACCATATTTCAGGCCTGGGACACACACAAACACATATATAAAAATCATGCATGGTGCTGTAAAGCTATAAAATTCCACTCTCCTTGAAACTCTAGTACTTGTGTTGGGTGTCATTTTGGGGCATGATAGCTGAGAATGTAACTCTCTCAAATAGTTATAAATGAGAATGTTCCTTGGTAGTTTCATCTGGTCAAAGGATGGTGTTTGTCTTTAAAAGTCTGCTTCTAAAATGACCTGCTGTCTCTCATGACTTGTGACTGACAGTCAGCTCAGTCTCCTCTTAAAATACTTGAATCTAATCTCCTAAACACTGGAGTTCTGTTTTTTGGGTGGAAATCATAATTTGCAATATAATCTAAAATCTTTGTCAGTATTTGGCAACTTCCTTTTGGTTTCCTTGCATCTTCTCTCCCTTTTCTTTGTTCATGCTTTTTCTCTTTGGGTTAATATTGTTTGAGCCTGCTGCAAATCTGCTGGAACTCACTAATTAGCATGGTCCAGCAGCCTACATGTCACGTTTATTCACTGCCCACCCCCCCCCCCCTTTTTTTCCCCCCCCCCCCCCCCCCCCCCACACACACACACACATTTCAAAATGGCAGTGGGGGCGCCCCCTCCACCCTGGAGCACGTGTATAGACACCCGAATGTCATCTTTATTTCCATGGCCCACCACAGTCAGATAAGTATCTGAAACAAAGCAGTAATATCACTCCTAGGGGAGATCAAGGGGGGATAGTGCTTCTAAAGGGCACAGACTCTATCACCCTTTATTATTATGCAGCCTTCTTCTTGCTGATACATCTGCCAAGTCAGAAACTGCACCCATGGTAAGAGGACAAGTCTGTGGCTCACTTCCTCATCATCTCTGTCTGTATTCTTTGGTGTGATGTGTATCCCAGGGAGTTCATGGAAGGAGATCCTGTCCTTCCCTGAGCAGGGAGACTGCTCTTACGTTGGTCATATAAAAGGGAAACTGGAGATTCCCCCGTCTATCTACTCCATCCCACATATTTGTGCAGATGGAATCCACTGGTTTGTGTTTTGCATAATCCCCTCTGATCCCAACCCACAGAGGAAATGGGTTTGTTACGGCCCTGAGCTACAGCCTGTTTGGTTACTATCTCTGATGACTTGTTACTGAGAGTCAACTCATTCTCTTCTCTTATACCCTTTCAGTGTCATCTTCATTTCTGCGACCCACCACAGTCAAATAGATATACAGGACCTTGTTCCCTGTGTGTCAGCCCTGCTCATGGCCTTCTGACAATATTAAGCTTTCCTTAATGCGACTGTTTTCCATAGTGCCTTTTTCACACTGAGCTTTCTAATAAACATGCCAATAAAAGGTCTATTTCTTGTCTCATTAGGGATCAATAGATTTGGTCTTACATCAAATGACATACTCTTTCAGTCTTAAAGTGAGCCATGTTCTCACATAAATGCCAAAAGACCAGTGGCATATGTACTTGCCTTATTGCAATGAAGTTTTAAGAGTTCGAGCATATACATAACCCTCTGTACTGCATAAATAACACTTGTGCCAAAAGATATAGCTTTGTCTTTCCACAGCCCTATACAGATATTCTGTGCTATCTCATACCTACAGGTGGTCTCTCCTGAGCAAGGTTCAGGCCTACTGGGTTGGCAACATGGTGGCAATAGGCACCTACCTTATGCAGAAATAAAGGAATTTAGCCTCCCTAGCTGTCATTCCAGCACTGTTTTTCTCTAACACTCTATTCTATAATATTCACTAAAAAGTAGTAAATGTCAATTTGGCTCTTCTGTCTTTCCTAGTCAACTGTTTGGTGGATGTTAACCAGAACCAGAGGTCTCAGTTCAAATGGCACAGAAGGAAAGTTCAACAACAAGAAATCAATAGCCGTAACTATGGGACACAATGCACAGACCCTGGTTGAATTGCTTATGTAGCTTTTGGGAGCAAAGGTGACATTTTTCAGCAGCTCGGGGCTCTTATTCTTTAAAAGTTTTCTCCTCTGTTTGCTGTTGCAAACATCAGTTGCCATCTTTTCCCTTATCATTTCTTTTTTTTTTTTTTTTCCTTTTGCTTCCTTATCTTTTGCTGCTGTTTTGAAAAAACTGCATTAAAGCTGAAGGGTTTTTTTCTGTATTTTTTCTCCCCACTTTTTCCCCTTAAAGCCAGAGAATGAGCAAGGTCGTAGAACTTCTCTAGAAAAGTTCACTCGCAGTGTGGTAAGTTCCTTTTTTTTTTTCCCCTTTCCTCAACATTTTATTTTTAGTTGGGGGGTATTGATGCTTAACTTTTTATTTCTTTTTTTTTCTTCTTCTTTTTATTTTTTTGCAGATAGCCTCTTTGCAGCTTCTCTTTTAATACTGTAGCTTATCTAAATAGTAGCTCTAAAAAAAGCAAGGCAGAATTCCATAATATGCCTTCTGGCAAAATTTTTCATATCAGTAAATTAATTTTGGTTTATTCTTAAATGACAGGTTGTCTTTTTGCTATTTTCACACTACAGTATTTTTGTGGCTTCCCCTGCTCATTGTAGTAGAAAAGCATGGTACTAATAGTGTCATTTAAAGCATATCCATATAGACTTCTCTGCATGGTTAATGATACCATATGTATATACACATATATACCCACATTACATCTTTTTCCTAGCAACTGTACCAACTTCCTTAGTTGTCCAGATTTGTCTTTGGTGTTATAAGAAAATGATGTAAAGATGATGACAATAGTTGTAATGCAGTTAAATCTGTTAGGAGCCCCAGTATAAGATTTTGTGAAAAGTGCCTAATCTTTATTATATTTTTGTAACAGCTTGATAATGGAGGAACTGTACTATGTGTATATACACTACATATGCTTGCATCTGTGTGTACATATATATGTATATTTTCTATATACTATATATCTACATACATGTTATAAATATATTTCCACATAGATAAGGTGAAATTATACAGGTAAGTGTAAGCAATAACCGAATGTAGGCATCAAGGGGTTTTTTCTGATGCTGTCATGCTAACCACATAAGTGAAAAGCAGATGTGAAGGGCAATACATTAGCAGTGTCCTGGTCTCATGGCAGGTTTCCCCTGTTGTGTATTAGTATAGTATAATGCATATGACAATTATAAAAAAACATGTTTACAGTAGAATCACATAGAAGACATTACCGTGCCCAGTTGCATTGTTCTTTTTGTAAGAATCTTTCAGAAAGAGAAAGAGAGAGAGAATAATTAAACAAATATAGTATAGATATTTTTTACATTTGGGACCAACATCTGCTCCCAGTTTCATTAGAATATACTGAGAGTAACGCTGAGTAATTGCTTTAACGGTAACATAAATGAAAGCAGAATTTGCCACTTGCAGTTTGATTGGTGACAATAATATGAACATTTTCAAAGTGGTGGGACCCTGATATGAAAGGCAGCCAAAACAATCATTGTAGGTAGGTCTGTAACTTCCTTATTCCAGTTCTCTAGGATGTTGGTTTTAGCTGTGTTGGTCTAAGGACATTGGCAGACAAGGTTATTTGGGTAAATGTGATATCTTTTATTAGACCAACTGATTTGTTGGAAAAAAAATGTTCTTTGCAAGCTTTTGGGCACTAATACCCTTCTTCAAGCACAGGGAGAGTCTGCTGGTGTGTGTGCGCTCTCCTGGGTGGAATAGAAGCCAATATGCAAAATGCAGGTCTGTGAAAATACAAATGTGTGGCAGTACACTCCATAAATGTTTTACTTGCACTTTATAGTGGCAGAATAGCATTTTTTATGTCAGGCATGAAATATTAGCCTCTGATGATACTGGAACTGTATGATCCAATGAAACAGTACTGGCTTGTATTATGTCAAGCAGCATACAGTCATAAAGCAAAATCACAGTGTTAAAATATAAGTTTCTTCTCAGGCGACAATACTATCAAGGTGGTAACCTCCTAGCATAATCAAGAGACTGTGGACATTAAGGCAAAGTTAGTGCTGCATGCTCTAGTCCCCCAAAATGCATTTCAATTTCCTGCATATGTAGGAGCAAAGGAGATTGGTGGTCCTCCATGCCCAGGGCTCTAATATACTTTCCAGAGGGCTCATTAAGGTCTCAAATGTTCAAGGTGACCCTTAGTAGTCATTACACACAGGCCTAGATGCCTTCTTGATTAAAGCCAGAGCACTCAGGACTTCATAGGCCTGCTTCTCAACTGTAACCTTAAAGGCCAAACTTCCAATACTGAGTACAAAAGTGATGTGCAGAATAATTAGGGCTGTTCGCTTGGTTCTGGTTTTTCAGGGCGGGGGTTTGCCTCAGAGAGCTATGTATAAGTTAAAGTAATAAAATACCTGGTCTTCCCATGGTGCCCTGTATCACAGAACACCCACTTGAGATGGTTAGCTTTTCGGTGAGTACTCCCATTGACTTCTGGGAGAGGATTTATTTCAATAGAAACAGGTTTGAAGCAAATAAAAGTATCCTGGATTCCATTTTCACTGTCCAAAATTAAAGGAAAACAAACCTAAACAGTTGAAGAGGGTAAAGGAATTAGATATTATAATGTTTATCTTGTAATTGTCTAAATTCTTCCAACATAGTAATATAAGAACTGATTGTTTAATTCATATAAACTACTAGAGCTGTTCAAATTATATACATTAAAATTTGGAAAACATGACATTTGAATCTTATACATTTTGTTTTCAGTTATGAGAAATTGCTCTAATAATTGTGAAAACTTTGTAAAATCTTGTCGATGTTATTCTTGGACATGATTTTTACTTTGTTTTTCAGTCAGAAGTAGATTTCTTTTGAAACAAAACCTTCAATTTTCAGAAATTCAAAAGTAAGATTATGTTTTGCCTAAGCTTAATTTTTGTGCTGAAATATATTGATTCAGCAAAAATGTCAGGAAAAAATATGGAGCTATAAAATAGCTGAAACAAAAATATGATTTTTAAATTCAGTTTGCTATTTTTGCTATTTGCATGCAATATTCATTGGAGATTTATTTTAAAATACAGACCAGATGCCCAACCGGTGTAAACTGATCTAGTTTCTATGGCTCTATGCCTTCTTATGCCACCTGAAAAGCTGATCCAGATGCTTTTAACCTATTGAGGCTGTAAATAGAACATGTATTCTTATGTAAAATCTTGTGTGGTTAGTCATTTGTTGTAAACAGCACAGCAGTGAATGTTCCAGAGTACTGCTTATTCACCTTGGCTATCTTCATACTATCAAACTCTTTAAGGCTTATTCTTACTAGACCTGTGCAAAGCAACTAATATTCGCTTCGGATTCGGGGGACAGTGATTCCATTCAGTGATTCAAATTGCTGTCCTGAATCGATTTGGCCAAATCTGATTTGGAGATTCGGCTGCTGCTGAATCATCCGAATCTCCAAATCACACAGGTCCCATCCCCGGCCTGCTCTCCCAGCCTGACAATGGCTGCCTTGCCCACACCAGTTCCTGGCTCTTTGGGAAAAAAAAAAGCCCTGACTCACCAGATGCTGCCTGGCAGGGGGGGCGATCCCCACTGCCCCTCACTGTCCCATGCTGCATGGGGGGCTCTGCCACCACCCCCCGCCATGGCTGCGCTGCCCACCCCAACTCCCAGCCCTTTAAGAAAAAAAAAAGCCAGTGGGGGGGTGATCCCTGCTGCCCCCCACTGCTCTGCGCTGCATGGTGGGGCTCTGCATGAGCCCCAGAAGCCCTGAGGCCACTGCAGGAGCTGGTGAGCCCAGGCATTTTTTTTGTTTGTCTTTTTCTTAAAGGGCCAGACCTGGGGCAGGTGGGGCAGCCATGGGGTGCTGGGAGAAGTGGGGGTCAGGGGGCTCATGACAGAGCCCCCCCCACGTGGCATGGGGCAATGGGGGGCAGTGGGGATCACCCCCTGCCTGGCAGCACCCACTGAGTCGGGGCTTTTCTTTTTCTTCCTCCAGCCCCCCCTCCCCCCCCCCCACTTATTAGCTCTGAGTCCAAGTCCAGCTCCCTGTTGCAGTGAGCGGGGACTGCCCAAATCACCAAAGCTCTCCAAATCTTTTCCAAATCGATTCGGTGAGCTTCAAACCAATTCGGACCTTTTAATTGGGCCCCTGATTCAATTTGGATTCAGAGATTAGGCCACCAAATCAGGCCAAATCTCCTCCAAATCGAATCAGCACCCAAAGCTTCGCACAACCCTAATTCTTACCTCTACCATTTGTGCACTTGGGAAAGGAATGAAGGCTGGGGATGGGATGGATAAAGGTAGGTTTAAGCCACCTTTGGTAGTCTGTGCATTCTTGGGCCATGCAAAAACTGAGTCCCTGGTATAAGCTCTGTTCCATTTTCCTGAGCCATCTATGCACCCTGGGAAATAGGGTGTGTGTAGATGAAACGGGGGTCCTAAATTGAAGCGGTAGGTTTTTAAGCCCACCGCTTCAATTTAGGGTAAAGTAAACCCCTGTGTCATGCACACAACCCACGCTTACCTGCCTCTCCGGCAGCGGGGAAGGGAGGGTGAGGGGGGTGAGCTGCCAGTGGGCGGAGCAGTCCTGGGGGGGAGGGCTGTTGCTTCCTTTTGCAGTAGCGGTGCCGTTCTCCCTCCATTGGCACCTGCCCACAGGCAGCTGGCTCGGGCAGTTCTGGGGGGCACCGCAGCTGCGGAGGGAAGCACCAGGCCCCTGTGCAGCTCCAGCAGGCAGGCATGCAGGCTCTGGGGGGGAAACAGGCTTGCTGCCTTTCTTGGGTAGAGCCTGCCTTCCCGGACTGTTGCCAGGCTACCTGCAGGGCTTCCTGCAGAGCCATGGAGCTGCACGGCGCCTGGTGCTTCACTCTGCAGCTATAGGGGCAGCAAACTAAAACTCCATGGAGGAGTTTTAGTTTGCTGAGCCCCAAGTCATTTAAGGCACATTACGCTGCCAAATTTCCTACACCAGCTAGAATTAATGCACAATACACTACCGAGGCGTGCAAACACTGACTCCATTAAAGCGGTGCAAAAGCATTTTGTCTGCTTTAAAGTGTTGTGCACACAAGCCCCTCATTTAATCTACACACAGCCATAGATAGCAGGCACAGGTACTGCATCTCAACTTGCCTTAGAAAGTTCCCATTCTTCCCCCTTTTCTGGGTGCTAGGAACAGAGATAATATGAATTTCTTATGTGGCACATATTGTTCTGCAGTTTATTGCTCCCGGGAAGATTTTCACATATGTCCAGAACACAGCACATTGAGCTGGGTCAAA